ATTTTTCATAAATACACTACATGTATTCTAAATATTCTTCCCATTAGCTTACTATCTCATTGCATATTTACTGTCTTCCTCAGTTGCTCTGCTTCCAGTGCAGCTTGTTTTAAGTAGAGCTTTTAACCAATCAGATTTCACCTCTGTGTCTCTAGGTAAGAACAGAGGCAGAGGCCTGCAGACTCACAAGTGAATCCATGTGCAGTTTAAGTGAATGGGGACGATGTTGTTGAGTGTTATGTGAATATGCGGCTTTTACATGAATAAATGATAACCCGTAGCTGTGTCATAATGAGGTTATTAGGAGCTGGTTCAACTGTAGTAGGACGGCACTGAAGGCCCAGGTTTGAAACACACGGCCCGCCACTGGTAACAGGTAATGAGATGATGAAGACATGCTTTCACTTGATGGTTTAAATGTAATATTCTGAAGATATGGTTGAACATAAAACACTGGTTCTGACAACTATTATACTTAACCCCGTTAACCCCACTTCCCCAGCAATGACTTTCTTATTTTTTTCTAAGTGTCTTTTGAACCTGCAAACCTAACCTTCTCCACAGGAGGGCGCCAAGACACCACTATTGAGCTCCAGAGGGGAGACAGCGGGTCCTTGCTGCAAATCTGTCCGCCTGTAAGAGCCTCAAAAGCGGACAGAACTCACCACACACAGCCTGGATGAATTTACTTTTTCCAATATATTTCTAAGTATTTTTTAAAAAAATGTCGTGCCCCTGGTTCATTATTTAATGAGAAGGTAAACTAGTTTGAGCTCTGATCTGAACAGCTCGTGTCTCTGCAGTGAATGGGGCCTGTCAGCTCCTGCACTTCACCACCATGTTGGTTACAGCAGTCTGTAAACTGTAGATCTGAAGGGGAGGGAACAAGGAAACACAGACAGAGAGGAGTTCTCTGTGTGTGAGAGCAGGAGGAGGAGGGAGGAGTTACCAAGCTTTGGTTCATTCCAGGAAGAGGAGCAGTTTGAGAGAGAGACTGTGTTTAACACGTAATAGAACACAATAGAGTTAATTTCTCTGTTATAAACACAGGTTACTTCAACTCCTAGGAGGTGATCTCTGCTTAGAATGATGGGGTTTGGAGACAGCTCCACAGTTATTAGAATGATCTCTTCTTTCCTAAAATACAGTTTGATTAATGTTTTTAATGATTACAATAATTCAAATATGGCAGAAGAATAATATAAAAAGGAACCACTGCTGTACAAGTGATTCAATTCCAAAGTAACTTATAGTTATTTGATGAAATTCCTTTTACTTGCTTTTTAAGAAAACAGGTCAAATCCAGAATATAAGATGTATTTTAATGTTAAATGCATTTAAACAAATAACGGCTCTGCAGTTCAGTCGGAGACTGTAATGACTGCATGAATATGGAACATTTCCTCTTTTGTCACAATTAATTAACTTCATGGTTCTTATCACACCAGTAAAACAACCCCGAACACATTGTAGTGAAGATGAACGGAGTTCCCTCAGAATAAACCAGAACACTATTAAAAACAATAGGAGGTTATTGGCCTTTAAGTGAAGGCAGAGTGTCGCCTCAATAAACACAAACCTGTTAATAACCTGCTGTGATGTTCACTGCAGGAAGACGTGTAAGAACGTCACCGAGTCAGTAAAGAGACAGGAGAGGAATACATCAATATAATATATATCCTATATCTGAATATGACATGTATATGAATCATATGATATATAATACGTCTATATATACTGTATATATATATATATAATACGTCTACATATATATATTATATATCCTGATATATGAATATCTATATGGAATAGCTTTAAGGTTAGACAGCTTATGCTGGAACTGTGTTTATACCTTTGAATGGAGGATGAATCACACCTAAAGGTCACATGTTTAGCATGAAGCTAATTGTCTAAGGATCCCAAATGAGCTAGTTTGTTAAAGTTGCAGCTATAGAAGGGCTGATTGGTTCGGACGATCCAACAATTCTATGAACCACGAGACAGAAGACAGCGTCTGAAATCACTCCCCGTTTACTGTACGAGTGCTTTGTTCGCGGCGGACCGATTGCTTTGGCGTCCGGGCGTCGCCGCTTGCGCCATTGTCCACCACCGCTGCACCAAATGCAGCTCTGCACGTCCGTAGGTCCCCAGCAATACACCTGCCAACCGCGAAGATATATACGCAAAGGACACACAGACATGCTTTGTAGTTAAATAGTGCGTCGTATTAACCGTACGCCATTTCATCTGACCGTCTGAATTCAGAATGTACGCATTAACAACACTACTTTCTGCTCACAATCCCAGAATTAAAATTTTTAATTTCATTTTTTATTTCATCAGAATGCAAGGCGCCAGATTTGAGAGATGCAAAATGTTACGCTACACCTGTAAGTAACGACGGGAAAATAATTCTGATTAAGTTCTCACTGCGAGTGAAACATGGGTGGACAAGGGAGTGATTTCGTGGCTGCTCTTAAGTGTCTCAAGAGGCCTCAGCAGTCGGACTCGGACATCCTCTCGGGCCGAGCCGACTGACAGGTGCCGGGCGGGGTGAAGACGTCGGGGTCGCTGATGCCCAGCTGGAGGTTGAAGAAGCGGGTGGAGGTGGTGACGCTGCTGTTCTTGGCGTAGGTCTCCTGCACCGGGTAGCAGTCCTTCAGGGTGTAAACGCCCACCCAGGTCTCATCTGGTGGAGAGACAAAGCAGACGAGGACGTTTTTAAATTCCACCCAAAACAGCTGCTGAAGGAAGGAAACTCTGCTGGAAGGGTTTACTGTTATTGTGAAGCAGCTGCAGGAAGTGTTGAATCTGAAGTAACACTGGCTTAAAGGTGTTCACTGGAGCTCAAAACCCACCGGCAGGATTGAAAAGCATGTTTTCTTTAAACAATCTCCAAAACTACATTTTCTTTACTGTCAGATTGTCATCTTTCCCACGGTGCTTGAGAACGCTTCCGTCAGGAAAAGAAACTAAAACGAAGCTTAAAGTTGTGATATTTCATCAAAAATGTTTTTTATTAACCTTTTGCTTTCACCAGATTCTGTAAAAAACATTAAATTCTGAGCTCCTCAGCACAACTAAGAAGCCATGAATGATTTGAATGAGACCAACAGTCTAAATTGGGTCAGATGTTTCTGGTCAAATTTTACCACAATAATCGTCTCGTTTGGCCACTTTTGACCAAATATTCCCACAAAATAGGAAACTCAGTCACAAACGAAACTACATGAAGCACTAAAAGTCCGTTTAGCGCACTTCTTTGTGTTTCCTCTGGATTTAATAATCCATTTTGAGTAATGACTGCTGTGTTTAAACGTGAAGAACAACTGTGTATGATAAATGTTTATTATCTTAAAAACATCTTCCAGCTTCACAGCTCTTTGTCCAGGCCTGTTCTCTGTACTTTAGCATTAAATAATGACACCTCTGTGCAGAAAAGCCACGGACGTTTAAAAACCCCAGACTCACGCTGGCGTGCCGGCTTCCTGTCGGACCACTCCTGAACCTCCACGTTGTCCCCGTGGCCTCCGATGAAGTACTGGTCCTCGAAGGTGGAGTTGTCCAGTAGATCCAGACAGATGGAACAAGAGAAGGTCTCCTGGTCCAGGTGAACTCCTTGCTGAGCCATTTTCTCCTCGTGGCAGATACTTTGTGAGTTTCTGTGATTATAAAACAAACATCTGAGTTTACGTCAGAAATCTCTTCTTTGTTTCTGTTCATCTGCTGATCTTCACTGAATGAGGTTCCTGCTCCAAACAAGGCGACATGTGCACATGTGGAGCTGGCTGTGTTTTAGAGCCAGAAGAAGGGGGAGGAGCTATCAAGCTTTCATGTGATTGGACAGCAGCAAAGTGTGTGCGTGCGTGTATGTGTATGTGTATGTGTGTGTGTGTGTCTGTGTGTGTGTGTGTCGGGGGGGGGGGGGGCTATGAGAGAAATGAAGTTACAACATTGGCCGGTTAAGTTGGAGCTCCCCTATTGGCCGTTGCTCTTTCCAAATGAAAAGGCCAGCGATCAGTCAGCTGATCCACTTCGTCAAAACAAACACGGTTGTTGTTGCTACGCAACACGTTTCTTACTCCCTCCGCAAAGCTCCAGCCAGAAAGCTTCATTTAAGATAAAATAAATATCCACTTTGGTTGTCAGTATAAGTTTCAGCTTTTCCTTTAATAAGTGCTGTAGCTCCTCAAAACCAAGTGGAGGCTTTTGGCAGCATGTTCATGATTATTATGGTCTGGTCTGCTAAACAAAGTATCATTAAGTACACAATTATACTTTAGATGAGTAGTGCCACCGCTGACTGTCCCTTTAACATTTAAACACATTGACCAACCACACTAGGTTTAAACACAGTAAAGATACTAAATCAACATGAAGTAGAATATACAAAATATGTCCTTCAAGGCACAAATTTAAAGATTATGAAAAAAACAGGGAAAAATTGAAAATGTGAGTAGGCCAACTAAATATGATAAGATCATTGAATTAACATCAACATTTTACAGAAAATGAAAGAAAAAATAAGCTGTGCTTTTCTATCTTGCAAACAGCATTGCAGCTGATGAAAAGTGATTCTTCATTTTATGTAGAAGTCAATGACAAAATATTTCATACAACAGATTAAATCAGGGCTGTATAGGAAGCTCCACTGAGGAAACCGAGGACATTCCCTCTGTTTTGTTGTTGGGATTGAAAAAAAAACATGAGTAAGAGTTTAAAATACCTTTTATGTGAATTCAACTCTTTCAGGTTTTGAAGGTTGATTCTGATTCTTTTTATCCGAATGAAGTCGACTTGTTTTTGACTTGTGTCTGAAAATGGAGACATATTCAATCCAACAAAAGTTGTGTATAAACCCAATAATGTATAAATGTCTGTTTTTAAATACACAAATATTTAAATTCAAACCTTGGTTCACAGTTAAGCTCACACAGCTGAGGTTGAACACAGAAGAATGATTCAGGAGGACAAGGACAGGTTTAAAGAATCAAAGTACAGGTTTAGCGAGACGGTGAGAGAAACCAAACGACTGTACTCTGAGAAACTCCAACAGCAGTTCTCAGTCAACGACTCTGCTTCTGTCTGAAAAGGTCTCTGATTGATCACCAGCTGCAAACCTAAAGCTCCTCACTCCACTAACGACTTGCACATGTCCAATGACCTGAATGAATCCTACTGTGTTTGTGAAAGACAAAGGGACAGTCCTGACAACAAGGAGGACTCTCTCCATCCTGGAGAGGGACGTTAACAGGCTGTTCAAGAGAAGCCACTGTAGACTACCTGCTCAGCAGCAAACAGATGCTAATGCAGAAGGACAAGAATGAACCAGATCAGCTGATTCTGCAGTTTGTTGTTGATTGATATGAAGTGATGAACCTCTAGTGTTGATATACTTCACTATAATACTATAAAATATATCCTTAAAATAATCTCTAAACGTTCTGTAGGAGGAAACATTAGAATGAGTCCAAAGACTTCTGTAAAACATGGATGATTGTAGTTGAAATAAAGGAGGCCAAACTAAAGTAGAACCTCCAGTCAGTGAGTATCACAAGTCAACAACCACTGATGAAGGAATTAATTCATTTCAAATTGTGAAATCCTACAATGTCTGTAAAGGTAACTATGTGAGTTGTTGTCGAAGCAAACCCAGGTCTCTAGAAATGCAACAAAAACTTTGTAGGAAGTATTTTATTCTTCAGCATCATGTAAGTGTGAATGTCAGGAATGAACTGAAATTACATGGAATATCAAATATAGCTGGTAAGATTACAGTGAAGCTCCAGATGAGACAGAGTAAGAAATATAAATTAGATACAAGAACAAAGACTCACACTTTGAGCTTTTACTCTGAGGGAGACGTTGTAGACTTATCAGTCACCAAACATGTGTACAGCAGGTCTGTTCTTGACTGATGCAATTAAAATGTGAATACAACGCTGACTCAGGATTCCACAAACATTTTCTCCTGCATTTGTAAAATGTTGGTCGTTTTTCTTTGTGTTGATACTTCGTCCTGCTGTTTGTCTATGGAGGACAGAAAATGACTTAAGTATGAATAAATAAATAAATAAATGCATTAATAAATGTATAAATAAATACAGGAATAAAAAAATAAATGTTGAAATAAATACAGAAATATTTAAATGCTGAAATGAATAAATGAAAGTTGATACCTAAACAGGACATAAATAAATACATATATTTCTACATTTCTGTATTCCTTCATTTATTTATTTCTGTATTTCTGTGTCCGTATGCTAATGAGGTATAATAATAGTAATAGGCGGTCCGAGCCTCATTCTTAAGCAGGATTGGTCGAGTAGGGGAGCAAGACAGAAGCAACCGATTCCGAGCAAATCATCCCTGCAGACGACTTCAAATAACTAGCTAGCGGCACTCGTGGCTTCGACCGGGCGGCCGCTGGCAGACCTGCTGCGGGATGTGGCTGACCAGCTTGCGTTTCTTCTGTTTAAACGTATAAGCAGCATAACAACAGCAGTTGTTTAGCTAAATACTGTTGGTCAAAGTGCCAATATACTCTATTAAACTGAACCCGGCAGCCATGTGGCGTTCACTACTTTGTTATTTTTTGTGCAGCACCGAGGACCGCAAACGCGCCAAGTTCACCTCCGCGGCGCCACATCGGTTTCTGCAGGGAACACCTTTCCATGCTAAGTCCCTTGTGTAGACTCGATACTATCGCCGGTGATGAGCGATTTATTTATTCATGCTGTGCGTCAGATCACTTTCCTGATGTCGTTAGCCAACATGTTTCTTCTGCAGCGTCCTTATCCTCTTGTACTGATTCTAGCCGAGGTTTCTGGACTGTTTGGTCCATACGTTGGAGGGAGAAGGACGACAAGGAGGAGGCGAATGTGCTTCCCAGACACCAGCTGCATATTAACGTGGTGGAGAGCAACTTCCCAGTTCTTCCACCAGCTGAAGCTTCCAGGACATTACAAAGACTACTGTAACTTTGAAAGAGACATTCTTGCTGCTATTTGTAGCACTGGCACTGGGTTTGGATTGGTCTAAGGAGACTGTACATCAATATATCCCTCTGTATGTGCACTTCAGTAATCGGGTAGCATTTTGAATTACAGTATAAAAGCAGTTGATTGAGTGATGTAAACTAGTACCTAGTTCTGTTAGTGTGTAACACTCACACACACAATGTGGTGATGCATATTTGTCTTCAACCATTGTCTCGTAGGTTTAATCCCATTCTTCCCAGTTTAATTGTTTTGAAGATGATCAGGAGACTGTTACAACAGAGACAGATTGAATTGTTGTTGCTGTTCTTTATTCGTGGTATTGTTCTGAAACGGGATGCATGTTGCAGTTCCTCGAGCCTTGTGATTCAGTGCGTACATTGACATCGGCTATAAAAAATATATATATATATATATGTGCTGTCATTACTATTATTTTTACTTTTGTGTTAATCTTTTTAGTCATGTGAAACAAAGAGGAGTTTAGTAAATAAGAATGCGTTTCAGAACTATGCTTAATCAGAGCATTTATGTAACGTTCACCTGCATCAGAGAGCTTGTGACGCAGGCATTTACTGGAGCATTTCTGATATTAGGCTCACAGTTTGTACAAAGACATTCAACACGTTGGACAGGGGGCCATCGGGGTCTGGTAGACTTTCAACTTCCTGGTCAGTTAGTGAGCGTTGCAGCTGAACTTCAGGGACCACAACACCAGGCCGACGATGACCACACGGTCCAGTCCAGTCAACTCCAAACTCCATGTCAACCTGCAGTTGAAACAGTTCAGCCTAAAGTAACTTATTATGTAGTAAGTTATTATGGTCAACATGTCTACAGAACTGAGTCATTTTCAGTCAGTTATTCCTTTTGTAGAACCTTGTTTGAAATATCACTTGTTTTATCATTTCCTTGTATTCTGGATGAAGATGCCATGAACATCAGAAAGAGAGCCAATGAATTACTATAGGGAGCAGAGAGCTCCATGTATAACTGTCTCTCTGAAACACTGCTCCTTGTTTGATCACAACATTTTAGCAACACCTTATTGAAGTTTTGAAAGTGCCCATGATATGCAGAACAACAATAATCCACATTTACAGGCCTCTATTAGTGACATGCTATAATATAAAAACATTGTGTAATGTTAGATACAGCGGGGTTCATGTTGACATTGTCCCATGTAGGAAAGTAAGTTCATAGTAAAAATAAAATGACTGAATAAATTCAAACCTGCAGTGCCTCATGTTCATGGAGAGTCCACAGTTGCAGCGGGGACTGGTTTCCCTCAGTGCGTAGTCGGTGGCAGTTCCAGCCATGCTGGACAAACTGAAGGCGTTTCTGTATGTGGGGTACGAAGCACCAGTGCAGAGCATAGAGATGCATTTGGTTGTCAGGATTGAGAAGGCCTTCTCTCTCAAGGTTGGTAAAGATGGTGTAGAAGAGATCAAGTACGCCGCCATAAACGTCTCTCCAGAGCCTTTCTATTCTGATGGGGAAAATAAATATTTAGTCTTCCTACAATGACAGTTTATTACAAATATTTGTGTTCATCTCTTAAAAAGGATAAGTTGACTGCCACTTTAATTTAACTTTAGCAAAGCTCTTCAGACTTCACAATAGAAATAGGTTAGCACTGTTGGAATATCAGCTGAACTAATCACAGTTTAAACTTCTTCAATCCATATTTACAGTTCAATAATCAAACTAATTCAACATCAAGTTCAACAGGATTCTTCTGTAATGTGACACTGGGACATCCACTAAATGGAAGTCTGAAT